AGAGCTTACCCCAGACTCTGACTACCGTAGCATGCTAAGTTTTTTTTGTTTTTTTTTTTTCAAGAGATTGACCCTAACCTACACTCGACATTTCACACAGCAGCCAAATGGAGACTGTGATCGAGAGAAGCTCTGTAGACCACCTCGTGCCAGCGAACAGATCAGCAATTACAGCCCATTCTTCCAGGTGAGTCAGCTGGCAAGGAGGTGCTTACCTGTGGATGGGAAAGTACCTGTGTGTGTGTGTGTGTGTGTGTGTGTGCGCGCGCGAGCACACGCGCGCTCAAATTTGCAGCCTTTCTGCCTCAGCCTCCTAGACAGCTGGGATTACAGTCACAGAGAGCACTCAGGTTTTAAACCTTGAAAAACTAATTAGATATGCTTTCACTTTTGTACATTTGGATTTTTTCATTTCCTGAAAATCAAAGCAATCAGTAATTGCCACGACCACTCAGCCTTAGATATGTACACCTTTTGACTTATTATCAATGTGAATTAAATATTTCTTAAAAGGGACAAGGATTCTGAAACTAACACTGCACAATAAAAGAGGAGAGGATATGACAAAAAAGGGAGCCAGGGGTGACCAATTCATCATAATGTCACCAGCAGCACTTATTTAAAAACAAACCACATAGAAGAAATAGTTTAAAAGACTCCCTCAGCTTCAACTCCTCAGATCCTATATATTTTCTGTTCAAGTATCTAGTTTTACACACATAGTCCTATAGCATCTGCAGGTAAAGATAAAACAATAATCAAATCAGGATTTTTTTTTTTTCTCTATCCAATTTGTTTCTGCTTCTCCACAAACAAAAGGGATTGGCTGAAGACTGACAAGACTCTTCATGGTTCTAAATTAATCCTCTGGTTTATGGAGAAATGCAATACTGAAGCTATAAAAAGCACAAAGTAAATGTAAATAAGGATCTAGCTCTTTATTACCTTGTGTCCTGTGATATGTCAGTTATTATCTTGATTTGTTGACCCTGTTTTCCTCCCAGGAAGGCTCGCCATCTGGAAAGCTGAGAGCAGTTGAGTGAATTCATTCTACTCTATTCTATTCTGTTCATTTTCTTGAGACAGCAAAGAAGACCAGGTAAGAACACGCATTTAGCCAGGCAAGGTAGTATACTTTGGAGGCTGAGGCAGGAGAATCACCATGAGTATGTGACTTTTATTATCAATGTGAATTAAATATTTCTTAAAAGGGACAAGGATTCTGAAACTAACACTACACAATAAAAGAGGGGAGGATATGACAAAAAGAGAGCCAAGGGGTGACCAATTCATCATAATGTCACCAGCAGCACATGTATGAGGGAGGGGCTGTATTATGAATTGAACACATTTAATTCATTAAATTAAATTCATTAAATTAAATTAAGCCTTACATTTAGGAGTGACATAGATCTTAGAGGATGTCCCGACCCTGCTGGTTAGTAGCTGTCTGATCTCAAGGAAAGCCTTGAGGCTTTAGTGTTCTCAGGTGTAAAATATGAGTACTAAATGACCTCAAGGACCCAGGGGGCTGAACAAGAAAACTAACACTATTCTCATCCGGTGCTTTGCTGATCAACGCTATTCTATTTCCAAAGTAATGATCTTACACATGGAGACATTCCAGTTCAGAGAGGTGAGGCTGCCTGTTCAAGGTCACACAGCAGAAATAGGACTGGGTAGGAATGGAAACTGAGCCATCCAAGATGGAAGCCTGTGCTTTTTTCCAACCAGCTGAGGCGCCTTCCTACAACAGGCGGTGTATGTCTCACAGAGTGACAAAGAAGAGAGACTACAGCAGCTCTGGAGGTCTCCAAACCTCCCAGCTTAGAATAAATCCCCACCCAATTATGTTTCAAGTTGGGCCAGCTTTTGAAATCTCCACTGAACATTCTTCTCCCTTCAAGTTCCTTGAAATTTCCCTTTAAAGAGCATCTAGGAAAAGCCACTCTCATTAGCCAGGGTCTGACTTTATTTTCCTAATAAACAGACCTCTGGGCAGACAAAAGAACCTCTTTATTTTTAATCAATTCTTCAACATTTCAGCTGATTTTCTTCTATTTGGCTTGAAATTGTGATCTGGCAAATGCCGGTCCTGCAAATTGTCCTGCTCTGAGGGAAGCCCCTTGAGGTCCTCAACTTGTTATTTTTAATCACTGTAATCTCCTTTCAAAGGAGGCCCTGGTCAGAAACAGAGCAGGCCTTTCAGGGTTTTCTAAAGCACAATTATTGCAGGGGTTGGGGGGAGGGGCGGTGGGTAGAGACATGGTGGGAGAGAAAGGAAAGTCGATACAGTACCAGCGACTTGGAAAAGGGTGTATATGTCTCCACTGGGCCAGGCTGTGGGGGGAGAAACCCCATGATTTAATTTTTAAAAGTAGTGACCATGTTATTCTAGTTGTGAACACCAAAAGGCTACCATTGCTTGGGGGCACGCTGTGAGCCGAAGCTATTGGTGATGGGCTAAATGGCAAGGACAAAATTTGGGGCAGGAAAAGAAGTAATTTGTCCGAAGGATTGTGAGGGATCTCAATTCAGGAAAGAATAGAAAGCACGTAGGACAATAGGGGTTGGGAAATGCCACAAGCCCGTCTGCACAGAGCAGAGTGCCTTAGATTTGCTTTTGTCATGTGATTATTCTAAGAAAGCATAAGCCAACAAAAAATGTCACAACCTAGGCCAGCCCCCTTGCTTCCTCACTTTGAGTGGGGCAGCCAGGTTCGTTTATCACCGGATGTTTATTCAGGAGACCTTAGCAAGGCTCCTTTAAGATGTTTTCCTGCAAGGTCTCTTAGTCAAGAGAAAGGGGAAATGATGGCTCTGGCTAGTGGTGCCTGGGCCCAAGGAGAGCCCAAAGTTTAGGCTGCAAAGTCTCCTCTTGTCCCAGTTCCCTTCTGGGGCTCAGAACTGGGACTTCTCTGGCCATGTGAGTCTAGGATAGGGGTCCCCCCCTCCCCTACCCAACCTGACCCCCACTGCTCTCAGTGCCCAGTCAAACCCAGAGGACTGTGTGGGAGGAGTCCCAGAGAAGCCTAAATCACAGGAACTCTTCCAGTGTGTCAATATGAACAGTCTTAGGCCAGGATTCTAGGAGGGAGATCTCAGTTTCTCATTCATTCATTAGTTCATTCATTGAATTAATTCATAGGGCCATTCACTGGTAGGTTGGACTAGATCCCTAAAGAAGCCTACTGGTACACACACATGCGCGCGCGCGCACACACACACACACACACACACACCAAAATCTAACCAGGCAACACCCCCCCCCAACCTTTCTATTAACAACCAGCAAAGGCCAACTCTAATGTGTCCCAACAGGTCACTCAGCACATTCTCGGAAACTCACTTCCCCCATACACTATTCATAGCCAAGGAGTAAATCGCTATTTTTACAGCTGGAAAGTTAATTTCACAGAAATTAAAGGACTCACACAAGGTCACACAACTACCAGCCCTTTCAGTCCAGAGCGCGCTTCCCCACGGGCCCAGGCCCTCTGTCTGGGTGAGGCCCGAGGTTACCCTGCTTCCCCTCAGTGCGCGTGGAGCCTGGCCCCATCCCGTTTCCTGCCCCCACCCAGTGGGGGTTTTTATGTGTCGGTCAGCCGGTCAGCCGACTCCCTCCAGCACCACGACAGCCAGCGCGCGTGGTCCCTCCCAGCTGGGCAAGGCAAAGCGTTCTCTGCCCCACTCTTTTTTTCCTCTAGGGACCAAGAACCCCGCGAATGAGCCGTCTAGGGACAGTGGAGTCCTGCGCCAGCCCCGGGGGGTTCTGAGCAGGGCGGTGGAGGACACCTGCCCAAACTTTCTTCTGCGTGGCTCCTCCCGCAACTCGGGGGAGCCAGGAGGCCGGGATGGAAGGGTGGCGGCTGGGAGCCCATCTGTCCCCCCGGGTGCCCAGTGACTCCATCTTCCCTGCTTCGCACAAGAGCTGGCTTACGAAGGAGCGAGAGGGGACACTTGCCCTGGCAAGATTACAGGTGAGGCAAAGAGGGCTACTTTGCCTGCCTGGCGTCCTGGGTCCCAAGCGGACAGCGGCGCCTGCTGCCAGGGAAGAGGAGGGAGACGGGGAGGTGACCGTAAGGATGGAGTCCCAGTCCTCGGATCAGTGCGGGTCCAGCCGTCCGGCCTGACCCGGAGGTACTCGCTGACTTCGACCCCTTCTCCTGCGCTCCCAGAGCCCGGCTGCCTGCGGAGCCGTGCAAGCGCGACATCCACAGGGCTTGGAGCAGGGGGATGCTACAGCCAAGATCCCACAGCCTTGGGGAGCAGGCCTCAGTCGAGCTCCCCTTTCGGTCTTCTCTGCACTTCCTCTCCTCTTGAAAGCTACCTAGGGCTCTTTGGGGATCCCGTTCTCACTGGGGACCGGTCCTGGAAATCCAAGAGCTTCCTACTGGACTGAGCTCTGAAAAGCATAATTTGGGGTTTTATTTTATTTTACTTTTAATTTTATGGCCCCGCCCCTCCAAAGGACCCCATCGAAGAGCGTCAGGGTCTCTTGACCTACTCTGTGCGCCCTGGAAACAGTTCGGGAGAAGCCAGAGTGACCACCCCCTGGGAGCCAGTCTGAGAGAAGCCGGGTCCCTCTCTCTCCTTCAGGGCAGGACGCGGGAAAGCTGCCTTTCCTGGACACTACTGAGAAGAGCTCAGGTCCCCTCCACTCCAGAGACTGCGTTGGAGGGAGCGGGTCTTCTTTTCCACTGCGGAAGGTCGAGGTGGGAGCAGATTGCTTCCCAGCACAGCGGGCGTAACACCTGGCTCTGCCTCAGCTCCCACGGCGCGCCTTGCCTGGCTGCGGCCCCCGCGACGGCTCAGGACGGTGGCTGGCAATGCGCGCGGTGCTCACGGCTAGAGGAGCTGAGCGTGGCCATATCCGGAGGACCGTGGCGGGGCTGCGCCGACACCGTGCGCCCAGGGACTGCGCGCCCTCCTCCGGCACAGCGCGGTCGGCGCCCTCCTGAGTCAGCCCCGTGCGCCCCACGCCTGCCGGGGCCACTTACCGCGGTAGCTGCTTCCGGGCTTGTACGAGTCGGGGTCGCCCTCCACGCGGAGGCTGAACTCGGTGTAGCCCTCGCGCCGCGTGCCCTGGGCGCGCAGGATGCGGCTGCAGTAGCCCTCTGACTTGGCGACTTTGTCCAGGGTCTCGTCGGAGAAGGCCAGCGCCACGGCGAGGGGCAGCGCCAGGGCCAGCAGCGCCGGACTCCAGGACGCCGAGGACAGCCTCATCCTCGCGGGCTCCCAACTTTGAGATGCTGTCGCCGGCCCTCGCCCAGCGACTCCTGCCTGAAGTGGTCCTGGCAGCTGAGAGACCTGGAGAAGCCCGGGGTGGAAAGAGGGAGCTCGGAGCCAGAGCCAGAGCCAGTGCCGCCTCGGTTTGGCGGCTGCCGAACTGCGCTGCGCTGAGCCGAGGCGCGCGGCGCGCGGAGGGGAGGGCGGCGAAGGCGCGGGAGGAGGGAGGGCTGGGTTTGCACAGATCCCCTGCGCTGCGCTGTTTTGTTTCCGAGCTGGCGATTAGCTGCGCGCGGCGGTGTTTATTTTGCGACGCTGGATTCCCAGGCTCTGGTGGGGAAATCATAGGATGCGGGACACTGGAGGCTCTGTCCACCACCAAGGAAGGCGCTGTCCCGACCCACGCCTATCCGCTGGACGCGGTGCAGCAAGGTGCTCCAGGAGGGGAAGCCTGCCGCAAACTTTGGCTGCACACCTACTCTGCGCGCGGAGCCTGCGCACCGCCTCCACGCACGCACAAGCGGTTCGCGACTCTCGCTCAGTCTGTAGCCGCCATCGCTCTTCCCCTGGCCCTAGTGGGACAGATCCCACAGGAGGGTGACAAAGGAGCCAAAGAAGTTCCCCCGGGGGCCCAGCAGGCGCGGTGGCGCCTAGAGCCGCAGGACTTTTGGAGATCTTAGAAAAATGTTTTATTTAAAGCAGAAAGAGGAGGCACTTTGGTGAACAAAATGTTTTGCAATATTGATATATTCGCCCTTATAGTACCACACACATAAGACGTGGCGTTTCATGTTGTACTGTGAAGGGAAAACAGAAAGACAAGTTGCCCGGGGCTAACCAAAGTCCTCACACGGCCCTGGAAAGGAGTTGTGAAAGAACCAGAGAAGAGCATATTGTTCTTGGCTCGGACTGCAGTTCAGCATCTGGGTATGGGGACAGATTCGGGAGAGGCGCTACACCTGGGGCTTGCCGAGTACAGCCTGAGGCACGAAGTTGAAGGCTGAAAGGGAGGAGACCCCGGCAGGAATCTCTCCTGCACGCCCCCCCCACCCCCAACCCCGCACTCCCCACCCTACACCACAGGGACCCTAGTCTGGCTTCCGTCTCTCTGCATTAGCCCGTTTTGAGACTGGATACCCGCTGGGGTTTCCCTGGGAGCAGCAGGGGGTGGGAGTCAGTGCTAACACTCCCTTCCTGGAGTGGTGCAAGGCTTCACATAAAACCTTGGCTTGTCTCCTCTCCGGCTCCTCCCTCTCTTGGGACCCCTTCTGCCCTGCCTCCCATCTTTCCTACCTGCATCCCTCTGCAGGTCTCTGGGTGCAGCTTTGCTTTCCCCTCCTCCTCCTCCCCCAGGCCTTCAACCCTGAGTGCAGATTGTAGACAAGCAATCTCCACTGGCCCCTCTTCACTCAGCTGCTCAGAGCTCTGCCTGGCCTCAGAGTCCATTCACCTAGCAAGCTTCTGTCCCATGTGTATTTGGAGCCAGTCTCTGCACTGAGCAATGGGAGTAAGAGGAAAAACAAATTAATTAATTAATTAATTCATTCATTCATTCATGTTAAAAGTTCTCGGCATACTCAGTGTCAGGATATGAGACACCCTACTTGCCTTACAGTCCTGCAGCAGAGGCAAATATTAAACACATAGCTATATGAGTTTTATCTAATTATATTGTGGCACAGGCTACAAAGGAAATGAAGTGTTTCAAGAAAGTATCTCAGAGAGTAGGAAATTACAGAGATGAATAAAATGTAGCCTTTGTCTTCATGGTGCCTACTGTGTGCATGATAGTCAGGAACACGTGCTTTCAAACAGTTTCATTTGTGCCAGCATGTTCAATTTTTTTTTAATTTTTATTATTATTATTATTATTATTTATTCATTTATTTTATGTGTGTGGCCAGCTCAGCCCACCAGGGGGCAGGGCTGGCTGGCATGTGGTGCTGGGGGATTGAACCGCGGTCCCTGTGTTTTGCTTAGCTTTGCTTGTTCTAAGTAGGTGCTTTAGACCACTGAGCCATCTCACCAGCCCAGCATGTTCAATTTTAAACTGGCAGTAGAGGGCCAGTCAAATAGCTCAGTGGATTAAAACAGGGGCCAGGGGCTTGCCGGCCCTGCCCCTGGGGCATGCTGAGATGGCAATTGAGACTGGGCATGGTGGCATGCACCTGTAGTCCCAGCTCTTGGGAGGCAGTGAACAGGCAGATCACTGTGAGTCTGATCTAGTAGTAAGACCCTGAACATCCTGTAGACCCTTCCCTAAAATACAAAAAAAACCCAAAACAAAACAAAAAAAAAACCCTGGAGGTAGGCAGGCATGGAACACTCAGGAATGTAGTGACATTTAGCATTGTCAGTACAAGGACTTGAGCACAGGGCCTTTCCACTGAGCTACATCCCTAGCCCTTTTTTATTATATTACATTTTTACTATTTTTTTGTCTTTTTTGAGACACGGTTTTGCTGCCAAGTTCAGGCTGGCCTAGAATTCACTTTGTAGCCCAGGGTGGCCTCAAACACAAGTGTCCCTCCTGTCTCAGCTTCCCAAATGCTGGGATTACAGTCGTGTAACACCATGCCCAGTGTATTTTTTTTTAATGACTATTATTTTTGAGATAGAGTTACACTAAGTCACCAAGTTGCCCAGACTGGATTTGAACATATGCTCTTTCTATCTCCTAGAATGTTGGGATTACAGGTGTGTACCACCATGCCTGGCTGTATTTAATCTTTTGTGGGACATTGACAAGAAAACCACGTGAGGATGTCCCCACCCCTTCCTCAGACTAGAAACCTGTACATTACCTGTTTAGATAATATACAAGGCCAGTGATAAAAAGCGCCAGGACTTGAAACAGGCTTTGCCAGCCCCCAAATGGGGTGCTTTCCATTCTCCTGACCCAGTGTTGACCCCAACAGCAGGCTTTAAACTGCCTCCTCTGGCTCCAACCCCACTCAGTGAACTATATGTTCCTAATCCAGTTTGGCTGTCACTTCCAAGCCCCTCTTTGGCCTCATACATCCAACCCATCACTAGCGTCAGTCTCAGCCACCAGCCACCTCCTGAATCTGTCTGCTTCTTCCCTTCCATGGCCACTTAGCCCACGGAGCTGTCATCCGCTTTCAGTCCCTAATGGCTCACCCACTCTGCTCCTCCATCTGTCCTTGGCTGGGAGGCCCCAGTGATCTTCTTTAAAAGGCAAATCTGAACGTCAACCCTAAGGTTAAGACCCTTTTCCATTGTCTTTTGGGGCTTTTAAGATAAAGATAGAATCTTTCAAGTGGCCTCCAAGGTCTTGCTTAAGGCCAGGCATTTTTTTTCTCCTGGGTTCCAGCCACCCACACTGCTCTTCACCTTGGGAAAGATTTTTTTTTTTTCAGGAATGGTTTTGCTATGAAGTCCAGGCTGGCCTCAAACTTTTGGTAAGCCTTCTGCCTCAGTTTCCCCAGTGCTGGGATTTTAGGTATGCACCATGCCTGGTTGGCTCAGAACTGTTTTGCCTGGGATCCTGCCCTGTTCTGAGGCTCATCCTGCCCCTTGCTGTCCGCTCACTGACTTCTATACATTCTTCAGATCTCAGGGCCATGCAGATTGCTCAGAGCTGCGCTTTGGTCTCCTAGAATAAACCCTGCCCTTAATGCTATCTGGAAACTCAGTACCTTTTCTTTTAATAATCTCAAATAGATACTTAGATCTGTATTTGTAAACTGTGGTACCTTGCTCAGAACTAAGGATCTTTAATAAGATCTTGCCTCCAGTGTTACCTGGCTCAGCCCATTTTCAGGTTGACCTTCAAGTCCCTTCCACATGAGTTGGTCTCTCTGATCCATCCACTCAGGGATCCCTGTCTGAGCTCCCAGTACTGTCAGACTGATTCCCTGTGTCCTCTGCTCTAGGAATTGTCTCAGCATTTTTCCTGTTGCCTGGAATACCCATCCTCCTCCTACCAGTTTAAATTCTCCTACCTGGACTTCAGTAGAATTCATGAAACCCACAAGGAGAACAATTTTCTTGTTTTGACAGTGATGATCCACTATATTGTCATGAACCTTTCATGCATCTATGTCTCATCTCCTAGCAATAAATCCAGTTTATTTTGTGTTTAATTTCCTGCTCAAATGTTTTGTTCTACTGAAAAATATACCGGACTTCAAGAAATCTCTTTCCAGTTTTGTAGCCTAAGGCGAAGCTGCTGTTAGTTGCTAGGGTGTTGCTAGGGAAAGCCGTTTAGCCAGGGCAGATAATTAACTTTATCAGTGTGGGTGGCTAGGTCATAGGGGGCCCCAACTCCTGCTATCCTTTGATTAGTAGGAGGTAAAATCAGCCATTTGTTTTTGTTTTTCCTTTAGGAGAGATGAAAAAAAGGCATTTTCTTATGTTTTTCTGAGTACAGTCATTAAAATATGAGCATCAGATATTTGCCTCAAACAAAGCTTGCAAACCCTACCCCTTACCCTTCGCATCTGCATTTAGAACAAACTCCTGGGAAGTTACAGATCTACTGTCCCCAGAGCGGGTGACTCATACTCTGCCTGGATATCCTAGCTTCTGGCTGTAGAAAAGTGAGAGGCTGTGGGAAGTCACATGATTTGTCTAAACTGTGAAATTGAGGAACGACATATCCATCTTGCATACCCCCTGGGATTCTGAGAAAGGAATACTGTCACTGATGTACTTAATATATACTTCACACCAAAAAACCCAGTATTGTCACTATTATTTATTTAGGACAATAATCCAAGAATATGATATCTTTGTTTCTGTAACCCAGAAAATTAAAAGTTTTATAGGAAAAGATTTCTAGGGAGAAAAAGCAGATTGACAATGAAGGAAGTTGAATTGCACTGAACAACCTATTGCTAATCTACCATGAAGAAGAGCCCTGAAGCTCCCTGTGAGCAAGCTAGCAAGATTTGAAACTAAGGATGGAAGATGAATATAAAGAAGAAAACAAAAAACTCTAACAGCAAGGCAACAATTATTTAAAAATTATTTCTCCAGCACTTGTTGTTCTAGGCACTGCATAAATCAAGTTTGACTGCATTACTCTTGAGGATCTGGTGTTGATCAAGTCCCTCTGACATTTCTAGCCTACGTCTGAGCTCCCCAGCCACCTGGCCTCTGTAGTTCCATGGTGAGGAGCCTATAGCAGGCACGCTGCAGTGGGCTGTTTGTTTTCATTGAAAGCTCCAAAAGGTTCCCCACCAGTGCTGGTCCTTTCATCTCTGTTCACTTTCTCCGTTCGCTCAGCTCTCTGGAGCATTTTGCCTGTTGTTCCTCTCCAGACCCAGATCAGCATTCTAGAACAGCATTCAAGAACCCTTCTTCGTTTCACAGTAAACATGAGCATCAGATGTA